GAAATGAAACATACTACGCCCAGTAACACGGTTGTTCAAAATGTTGCTGATGGCATTCTACAGTCCAACACTACAGGGATACAGACTTTCAATACTTAAAAAAATGACTAAATAAAAGAAAAAAAAGTTTTATTGTATTATTATGCTTTGCCTGGAAGGAGGGATGGTGATTGTATTGATGGAATGATGTTAGAGATGCAGGTTCCAGGAAAAAAAAGACAAAACATGAAGGCCAAAGAGGAGATACATGGTTGCAGTCAGAAGAAAAGGATGAAGAAAGAGTGAAGTGGAGGAGGATGACTCACTGTGGTGGTTCCTGAAGAGGAAACAATCGAAAGAACAATAACTATTGTCAAGTCAAGCTATGAAGTGAGTGATGATAAACTGTGTGATAACCTGATGACACAGGGACCAGAAAGATGGTGCACAATMCTTGAGCACTGTGAATGGGGCCAAATAAATATGGATGAATCTGTGCAAAACTGAGAATCATTTACAAACACCAAAGAAGCAACTGGTAAGGAAGCTAAGTTTTGAAACGATGCTGCTCTGGACACTGTTGCTTCTCAGGTGCTGCAGTTAATGCAGCCTCAGAGCTAATTAGAAGGGTGTGGCCCAAACACATCTGATCAGTCACTTTAGTCCTGCAACTGATAAGAGAATTTGTTTGCTTTTGAAAATGTTTAACGTAAACTATTTTTATATTTATTGCCTCGTAGAAAATGTAATGTGCATTTTATTTAGTCTGTATGTGTGGCATCTGGAGAGTTTCCTGGTTTTTATTTGACAATGTACTGTAGATAAGAAGACTTTTGTACTTGACACGGTTTGAAGAAAGCCATGAGTTGTTTTTARGTTTAATGCTGTTGATGGAAATTGATTTAATCAAGCTAAAGCTTCTAGTTATCAATACATTAACTTATTTAAACAACAAACACATTATTTACACTACTTTAGACCTGACTCTGTTTTTCACCTTAAAATGGCTTGTAAAAAAAGGAAAAAAGACTGAAAATGTCTGTCATTTCCTGCATGAAAAAATGAAGAATTAAGAAAAAAAATTTAGTCATTAAAATTCAGTTGAAAAACTCTGTGTGGATGTTGAAATGTAAGGGATGTGGATACATTTTTAATTCTACACCAATTAAATCTGACAGCGGATTCCAAAAGAACATTTCAAACCAAATTAACACCAAAATCATGTGATTATCTAGAATGAGGGAAGTTATTGATGTTTGTTTAGGTGAAATCAGCTCATGTTTTCTTGCTGCAGTTCACAGCAGAACCAATGGGGCCTTTGTGACCATTTYGCCTTGTTCTATCTATTTTTGCTCATAACTTACTTGTTCAAGATATTGCCAAGAAATTTTAGGAAAATATTCACATTCTGGTTTTCGTAGGAAGCATCTTGTATCCTAAAAAACTAATCAAACTTAATTATAGCCAATTCAAAAGTAGCAGAAAGGGTATAAAATAACATTACAAGGCAAACTGCAGGATCAAATCAACTTAATGTGTCTTAGAAAGTAAGGAAATTAAAACAATTTAAAAACCATGTGGACATCTGTTTTGTAAACAAAGCTCCTCAACCAATGACAGCGTGTTAAATGTGTCAAGTGACGAAGACGAGCGTCAACACATGGATTAAAAAAACATACTTTGACGTTTCAAATCATCATCAAATTTGGAACAAGGCCTGATAAAATAATGTTCTTCATGGCAGCTTATCTCTTTAAGGGGTCACTAAAAAACTCAGGCGATTTACTTTGATCCTATTTTCAAAAAACTGTTTCTTCAAAACACATCAACAAAAATTAAAAACTGGAAGACGAGGCTGTAGCTAACTACCTGACATCAGCGCGCTTTGTTGAAATTTGTAGAAATAATGAAGCAGGAGGAAATTACAAGAAAATGCACCGAGCAGCCTCGCAATATCTGATCACAGCAGTTTGGGAAGAAAATGGCAGCAGCTGCTGACAACATGTCAACATCCCTATGAAATGGGGAAGCACAGAAAATTACTTGACAAGTGTGTTTTGTTTAATTTTGTCACATTTGCCAATATAGTCCTTGRTCACACTAAGATGAGTTTCTATTCAACTCTTATTTACCACATGTGCACTCAAAAACCGACRTCTTGGATTTACTTAGTCAAAGTTRAGTAAGTTTCACATTTTCTTCAAAAATAAAAGTGAAAGTTACTTGCAATCCATCAGTCTGATTTTTGAGTGTAGTTTACTTTTACTGAATGTATTTTATGCAAATTCATATTAGAGTTTAAAGACAAGAATTCTGTTATATGTTGAAGCACAACCAACATGTCAAAATTTATAATGAAAAATTAGACCTACAGATGATTCAGAAGATTTTGCCAAAACATCTGTCCTTTTCATAGTAACTAATGTGAAATCAGGTGGAATTTGGTCTATATTAGATGTTTGTGGAAAAGTCTCAAGATTTTCGACTCATTTTTAATATTCTGTTTCAGCAAATAAGTGAGGTGTCAACTAGTGTAAAATCTGATTACTGGCCGTGATTTTGGTCTTTTAAACCCGTCTTTATGAACAAAAGTTAAAATTTTACAGAGCAAAACCCTATAAAACCCCTCTGCTAGTTAATATCCCATTAATTTTTAAAATGACATTCCAGCCACCAAAGTCAGCTCCTCAGTTTGCATTCTGTCTCCCACTGAGGTGAGAAAAAGAGRCATGGGGGAGAAATGCTGACAACAGATGGCAGGGTGGCCCCTCTGTCTGGGTGATTATGGACACAGCTGTCAGTCACTTTGCATTGAAATGTGTGAGTATGACTAAATCTGATTTTGTGTTCATGTGTGTGTGTTTGTACGTGAACTGCTCGTTCCACTCATGCATTCTGTGTTGCTTTTGTGTTTTAACAATTAAATATCATGTGAATGTACATTTTCTTGTAGCATACTGAAAACATCTTGATGTGTTTGTAGATCTCAGATTTAAAATTTTGGTTTGTATCTCTATTGTTCACGCTGATCCCTGTTTCTGTATTGTTGTGCTTTATCTCCCCCTAGTGGTGTTCTATATGAGTTTCTTTTCTTTTAGCAACATTTTTAAGCTCTGAAGCAAAACCTCTCAGACATACCTAAATGCTATAGCATCTGAGAGATCTTCTTATTGATGCTATAAGTTTAACCAATGTATCACAAAATCTTGAAGTGGTGCACATCAGCTTGGGATGCATTGCTTCTTCATTTAAGTGCAGTCTCTCGTTGTTCATGCTGCAAAACAGATTTAAATTAGGCTCCGTCATGATTCAGAGCATCTTTGGCCTGTACCATCTGCTTGGACGTAAACTGAAATGCAAAGTCATAACAAAGCCTGTTAAATTCCTCTTAAAGCACAAGTGATTCTGACTGAGCTCGAGTGCTACACAGATGTTTTGCTGCCTTTTGCTCTGCAGCTGATGAGTGCTGTTGGACTTGGTTTACACTCTTCTGGATTAGTTTGTTTGCTTTTTCCCCTATTCTTTTATAATAAAAAAACCATCAACCACAGCTGAGAGTTTAATTTCATACTAATGAACGTGTTCATACTGTAAAACTGTGAGTACTCATCTAAAAAGCACGATTCAATTTGATGTTATCAAGTTTTATGAATATAAGGAAATAAACTTGCATTGACTGATCTTTGAGGCGCAGCAGTCGAATCTGCAAGCAGCTCCAATCCAAAACACAACTCATTTATCCCATCCTATAAATGTGTGGCTTTGGACTGAGTCTGAGGGGACCACCAGAAAATGGGACACTGGAATCTGAGAACTCTCAGATGGTCACTTGTTTTTGGCCGATCAGGCGAAGCACACAAGTGCTTCATTTTTACACCTGGTTCAAATGTAAACCAATCAGATAGTCAGATCCAGGCCATAAGCAAACCAGAATTGTCTTAGCTCAATGCACAATAAAACTTCATATCACAAATAAATAAGCCAGAATTAAACTGCAATTGATCTTAGTCTAAGTCACATTTGGAAAAAGTTGAAGGCCAACATTTTTATCACATTTTTTAAAATAAAACAATCATCTAAAGYCATTTCTGCCACTGAAATATTCAGTCACTTCCAGAAGATGGGTTTTGTTATTTAGATTCCATTGTTGGCAAAATTAGGAGTTGTTAGAATATTGTTTTTCTTTCTGTGAAAAATCTGTTCCCTTTGATTCCAAACCTCATGAAGGTCAACCCAATATGACCATTAAACTCTGTGAAAACAACACTGAAAGAAATGAGACAAAATATTCTGGTGTGATCAAACATCCTTCTGAATGAAGTGGTAACTGTTATTTCCTATGAGAAATATTTTGTAGATTTCACTCTATAATATTAATCAATTGTCAAAACAAGGACAAATAAAAACATTTTAAATGCAATTATATCCATTATTAAGAAGCTTTTGTACTTCAAGATGCTGCCTTTTTCCTAAACAGAGAGCTTATAATTAAATAATTAGCTAGTTTTATTGTTCATCTTCATTCTATACAGTGTCACTAAAAATGTCAGTGTTGCTGTAATCAGCCAACATTCTGTTCCCAACTTCAACAAAGCAAAAATAATAAAATAAAATAAAATAAAATAAAAATAAAATAAAATACCTGTAGCCTAATGGCTTAGTGTCAAGTTTTTTGGAAGATGCATGACTGGATCAACCTTAAAACTTTATAATAATTATACTTTGTTTAGCCTTATATAATCACTAATGAATGGTTAGTTAACCTTAAAAACATAAAGGAAGGATTATTCATGCTTAATGAGCTATAAATTAGCACATGTTTTAATGCTTTATCCATAAAGGCCTGGGGGATGGTATTTGATCCGGCAACCTTCTTGTTGAGAGGCATCAGCTCTACCAACTGAGCCACCATACAATCATGTACTATAATCATGTTTATGAAAATAAACACAAGTTGTATTACTTGAACAAGTACTAATTTTATACAATATATTCTTGTTTAAAGTTACTTTTACATCTAATAAGCCTTCATAACAATCTCAAACTGAATAGAAGAAGATTGTGACTGCAGAAATGTGACTGTTTATAATAAAGTTTCTTTCTTTTCTATTTGTTGCTTCATGTTGTCAGTGGAAGGAGTGTAGTGGTCATTGTGWGGTCCATGACGCTCCTGATCCATGTATTGTATTCACACAGCTTGGAGTAAACTGTGGGGTGAGCCGGGTTATCGCAGCCGTGATTGAACCACAACACACCCTGCAGCTCTCCGCCACACACCATCACGCTGCTTTTGTCATTCTGGAGAAGACAGGACAGAACACAGTACTTTTATTCAGAATGTTTGTGGGAAAACTTGTGCAGAGTTAAATTAAAATGCAATGATACTTGACGGAAAGCAATGGGAGAGCGGGGGGAGGTTGATGGAGGCAACAAGCGCAGCAACGGAGACATCCATCAGCATTAGTTTCTCTGGTTTGTGCTCACCAGGCAGTTATCTGTGTTTGCTTGACCAGCGCAGACCATGACACCCCAGTATAGCATTGGGGGGAAGTAGTTCAGGCAAGTCAGGTCATCCACAACAGGCGCAGTGATACACTTCAGACGTGGAGAGGGCTCGTCTGTTTTTAAAGAAAAAAAATGCTTTCAGTTGAAATCGTTTGACAAACAGTTCTTCCTTTAGACAGCAGAGTTCACAAATTATATGGAGCATAAAAAATGTAATTCTGGTGTAAATAATATTTTCAAGGTCTACTTCTTTTAATTAGTTCTGATCACTAACGAGACAATTTGGCAGATAGTTAAAAACTGATTAAAAAGGTCGCAATTTAAAAAGGCTGTTTATGCTTTGTTAGAGCTGATATGACCAGAATAGGAATGAGCTTTAGAGAGAGTAAAGTGCTGATGAGGCCAACATTAACCTTATTAGTGATCAAAGTATCAAAAAATGTAAACTCTGAAAGCCTGTGATGTGATTTAACATCCTGTGAAAGTGCTGCTATTAAGTCCTTTTTTTTCAATCCATCAAAAACAAGTTYAAGGTGTGTTTCGACCACAACAAACATTCCTCTGTCCTCTTATTTTGACTGCAAAAATTAGGGGATAAAAAAGGGTACAAGTGGAAGTATTTTGTACCAAAACGTTACCTGATATTCAAATTTTGTTTTTTTTATGCACCTCATATCAACTAAGGAAACGAGCACAAAAAGCTGCACCGACTGAGCAAGTTTGAAGTTAAACAGTACAGTAACGGTACCTTTGAGGGTACCACCCCAGTGACAAGCCAATGTACCCMTAAAGGTACAATCTAGTACTTTTTTTTCTGACAGTGCAGGTAGACATAATATAAAACCCAAGGGGCCAGTTACTCAACAGCTAGAGGCAGGACAAGTTTTATCTTTCAACTTTTAAATGTGTTTATTTTGTCGAAATGAATTATAAATTTAAAGTTTACAATTGATATAAAATCCATTTTTTATTAAATTAAGTAAAATAAGAATAATAATTTCTTGGGGGGTTGGGGGAGTCATTGGCAGGCTGGACAGAAATCACCCATGGGCCACATTTGGCCCTCGGGCCTTGAGTTTGACACATCTGCCTTAGGTTGTTAAACAATGCTCAAAACACAACCTTCCTGTGTAATACCTAAGACATAAAATCCTCAGCGCTTCTTATGAATTTACTCACATTGATTTACGATGGTGGAGCCCCAGCCACTGATGGAGCAGGTGTCTCCAGGTTTCGGGCAGCGGGTGGGCAGAGGAATGGGCTGAACGTACTGGTTGAAGCGGGCAGGCTCAGCCAGACGCATCATGGTGAGGCTGTGTAAAGGTGAGCGGTAAGGGCTGTGAATGATTACATCAGCAATAGGGATGTGCTGCTCTGTGCCTTCCTCCACAGTCCTGTCATGTTCCCCGAGCGAGGCGATTGAATCGTAGGCTCTGCAAAAGACCAAGGAGAGGCTCTAAATGTAGCAAAGTCAGGGTGAACCAAGCCTCATTTATAAGAACCAGCATGCCTTAATCAAATTTAAACAGCAAGTTGATTAATTAGATTCAATTTAGTTGGAGCCCTAGATATTATATATATATTATCTGAAAGGCAGTACAATGTAAAAGTAATAAAAGTACAACATCTGATGAAACTGTAAGGAAAAAGTTACAATGTATTTAAGTTTTAATGCCTTTAGGACAATTTTGCAAATGTTCCAAAGAAACAAGTACAAACTGAAAATGTTGCAAGAGCAAAAATCGACACTGAAATATACTAAAAGTACGCCAACCCATTTTTACTACACTAAAATGTGAGGAACCCAAATTTAAAGAAAAGTCATGTTTTTAGCTCCTTTTCTCAGTGGTTGCTACAGCAAACTTTATCGGTTTTTTTTATACACTGGATGATGAGGACCCAAATTTAGTTAAAATGGTTGGGGGGATTAGAAAACTTCTCGATCAAAGGTTTGCCTTCTGTTTCCTCTGCACCACCACACCTCCACACTTACTGGAGACCACAATCAAAGGAGGTCACTATCCACCACTTATCAATGAGCGCCGCGCTGCAGTGCCCCCCTCCRCCACTCAGCCTGACATGCCAGGGTCGTGAGTGAGGCTGGCACTCCTTTGAGTCTTCCAGGGGATATGCCCCTAAAAACACACACAAACAAGAACAAACAGAAGCTAAATGATTTCTTCTGTTTTCTCCTTTTTATTTGAAGATACAACATATTGAACACCTTACCTGCAAGTCCCAGCATGAGGACCGGTATGAGAAGATTCATCTTGTTGTTCTGAAGAAGCTGATCAGCATTGGTGTTTTATACCTGACAAACTTGTGGGGCTCAGTGGGAGGAATTCACCGCTTAATTATTATTCAGTGTCACTGTTTCCTGTCAGCTTTGATCTTCGCAATAACCTCATTAAATTATGAACTTTATCATAACATTTTTATTGTCTCCGGTTAAGCAATGTGAAGTGATGCAACTGATTTCTCGTAGCTTTTTGTTTGTTCCTGATAACAAAAGCTGCTCTTACTGTATTTATGCAGTACATTTCCTCGGTACTCGTTCAAAAATATTTAACCATGATGGTTTTCAGGTGCACTTTTATCAAGTAAGTCAAATGTAATGGGACATTGTTAGCTGTAATAAACGTATTTATGGTGTGTCTGTCACAAGTGCATWCCAAAATGGATGTTAGTGTTCTGAGCAAAGCCTTAAAATATTGCACAAGTTCTAATGAACTTCCAGGTTGTCAAGTTATTGGCTAAACGGAAGTTCACTAATATAACATATCTTGTGTGAAAGGGGAGGGGAGGGTGCAAGAAAGAGAAATGTTTCTTTAAAGGTGATTTAAATTGTTGGGGAGTTGAGTCGGCTCTGATGTAGAGGGTGGTGGGAAAATTATGGTTTCAAGTTTTGATGGTTTAAATGTTCAAATTTTATTTTATTTTTTWTCTTTTGTTTGTTATATTGTCCATGCTTTTGCTTTTCTGCTCCTTTGCCACACTCAATTTGTGTTTGTGAAACCTGCTTCTAATATGCAATATCTCCCATTGTGAAAAAAAAAAAAAAATAATGAGTTCTCTACAAAAGTTGGCTKGTTTAATTTGATTCTGAAAGCGCGAATGCTCCGTTCTGTTTTAATACAAGCTTCCAACATGAATTCAGCAGCACTCGAAGCTCAGTCTGCTGGATGCTTGTTGAGACAGAACAGCTGATATAAAAGCTGATACCACATAGAGAATATACACATTCTTCAGATCAGAGCACATTCAAAATCCTGTAAAAGCTCATATCTAACCGTTTCACAATATAYGTATGTATTATTTAGCAGCGGTGTTAAAAGTACAGCCCTTTAAACACAATACTTTGTCCCCTGGCTCTACTTTTAAACCATTGATTTAATGATACTTTAAAGCTGATTGATCTCTTTTATTAACTGCAGCTTCAGAAGCAGCTCCGTGCTGTACCTTTATGTATAAATTAAAAATCACAACACTACTGCCTCAGCTCTTATCAGCATAGACAAAACCAACCTCACAGTCTTTGTTTGCTGATTCACGTGTCACTTTCTGAGCACCAGTGTTTTGTGCATCTTCTTTCATCCATTATTAGCTGTTACAGAAGCCTGTGTTCTGTTGCTGCCTCAGCTGGTAAAACGTCATGTGTTGTGTTGCAGATTGCTACAGACATAAACACTTGATGCTGCGCATTCACTGTGATGAAAGACGACGCAGCTCTGACTCAAACAGGCAGGGAGAATGTCGAACACTGCAGTCACGTCACATTAACTCTCTCCAGACATGTTCTTTGTATAAATATTTTATTTCAAGAGGTAACACATATTTAAATGATTCTGTATGGTCAATTCATGTCAATTATAAGCAAACAAAATTCCTCCTACTGTAGGTGGTGGTATGTTTTACAATTACTGGCCTTGGGTATTTTTTTTTATCCGTTTTCCAGTTTGTTCAGGGAAGTTTTAGAATTAATGTCAACTGATGGATGATTGGCTTTGGTGTGATGGCTCGAAGAGAAGCCCAGCGTCTACAGTTTCTGCTGTTGGAGGTTCTGAGGCTCCATGGTGAGGTTTGAGTTTGTGTCAACTGATGTTGGAGGCTTTCAGGTGCAGGTTGAGCGTTCTGTTGAAAAAGGTCTCTGAGGTATTTAAAAAAATGTTTTATTCTCTTATTGTAACCTCGTTAGTGATGAAAAAAGTGGTAAATCTGGTCTTGYGCAATGCCGGCGTAGGTGCTCACAACTGTGCTAGTTTCAGTGTAAAGATTCCTGCAAACAGAACAGATGAGKGGAAAAGCATTTCAATTGTAAACTTTGATCTTTGTTGCACTTTTTTAAAACAAAGCTCTSTTTACAAGCCCTTACTTTGCTTTCTCCTCTAGATTCAGGCCTTTAATGCTCTCCACGTATCCACTGACGGTGTTGAGGGCGCTGTCATAGTACGACTTGACTGTGTCTGTGATCTTGCTCAGTGTGCCCTCCTCCTCCTCGGCCTGCCTTGGCACACGGAAGCTTTCAGCAGCTGGAGGGAAAGAGGTAAGAAGTCATTTTATCAGCAAATTGGARTAGTATAAAAAACTTATAAGATTTTGTCATCATGATTCAAAACATTGATTAAAATTACAATTATTCTTTTCTTATCTTCCCTCCAGATTTCTGAGGCCCCACTAGCGCCCCTAATGGCCACTCAGGAAGTCGCAGCCCACACTTTGAATAACATTTAGCTGATACGCTCAAAATTTTAACAAATCTCTCTTACAACTCATCACTTTCATAATTATCCATCATTTGTGTTTTCAGAATCCCCTACCTTTTTAAATGTCATTCAAAAGTCGACTTCAAACACTGAGTTACTTTATTGAAATTAAATTTTGAAAAAGACATATTTGTCTTTGTTCATCTCCTACTGTTCTGAAGTGAATCTACAACAATCCCACTTGACTTTAGCTTAAAGCAAATCCTTTACAATCTTTCCCATTTTATCATCAGTGACTTAAAAAAATGTTTCCCTGAGGAATAGTGTAGTTTTAAGAAGTTTTACTTACTGAGTGCAAGAAGTGCAACAAGCACAGTAACAACCAGCAGCTTATTCATGTTGCTTTGAATCTGAGAGTAAAAAGGAGAAAATACATGCTTTAAAAGTTACTATTTACACCACTAGGGTGAGACATTGTCATAGATTTCACTCCAATCTCACTTATAGCTGCTGATTTATTTATTGTAACAGTTCATGTATGACCCCCACAATCACCATTCTTCTARCACAAATCAAACATTTTCCTCCCTAACATAGTGAGTAATTCTCAACCCCCACAAAGCATAAATGATTCTTCAACACTAGCATATTCTAAATCATTATTAAAATGAACTCAAAGTTTCAGTACTCACTGTATCCCCCTCCAGAACTGACTGGGAAAGAAGAGAGTCGGAGGCACCGCTGACCCGAGCTGTTTATATAGGAGAGTAAATGTGTTGACTTGTTGCTCTCAGAGCCAAAGTGCACTCTGTGGGAGATAAACCTGCACTGTTGTCTGATACTATGTGTTTACTGCAAGTGCTACTTGAAATGTGTTTTATTATTTAAAAAAATTGATTCTTCCTTTATGAAAAATTGACAACTTTACCCGTGTCTTTAACACGAGTCAGATTCAGTTTTGTAAGTGGCCAAACTGAAGCTCCTCTAACTCTGCATGTGTGAAGGCATGTTTGAATATGCCGTGGTCATTATTTCTCATCGATTAGGTCTCCTTTATAGGCTGTGAGTTTCAGCACAGCTCCATAAGAGACACTTGTTACATGCAGAACAAAGGTGATGTGTCCATGTCACGCCACAGCAGTCCTAAGTCCTGTTAAGGTGGCTGATTGTGTGCAGAACACGTCACCAGTCAGATCATGAGGCTGAGGGGATATCTGTAGACTAGATTTCTTCTGCTCAGCCTCAAAGACATCTATTTTTTCTACCTTTTTTTATTTGCTTGATGAGTAAAAAGAAAAATGTTTTCTCCACATCTTTATAAAAAAAATACGCTTTATTTTTATGAAACAGTTTAGCCGCTGGGCATTGATTCTGATAAAGTTACAAAGCTGCAGGTTGTTGTTATGAAAAATCTGTTTTCTTTCTTTCTTTTTTCTTTCTTTTTTTTACTAATTTGCAACAGAAAGCAACACAAAACACTAATTTCTTCTAAATAATTTCTTAATCAGAAAAACATATCTTAGCTATGCATTTTTTATGAAATAAAGTCTCAAATGTCAAGATGTACATTTTTGACCACATATAAATAAATGAAACCATTCCTTCATCTATAATAAACATCAAATATAACTTTTCATTAGTTTTTTTGTTTGGTTTTTTTTTACCCTTTTTGTTTTGACCTTGAGACTGTGGTCACATTTTGAAAAATATTTTGAATTAAGTTAATAAGTACTAATGATTCCTGATTGCTGTTCCAAATGTTTGTGGAAACCATTTAATTCTAAATTCACATTTCGTGGAAGTCTGTGAACAATAAATAAATTAACTGTGTGAAAAAAGGCGCTCAGCTAAAAGTAATTATTTTATGTATATATATATATTTATATATATTTATGTATATATTTATTGGATATACACACACAAAACAAACTTATTTGTGCAGCATTTCTATAATTCTGAAAGTTAACTATTAATAAAAATCAGACTATGCACATCAATCATTAAGAGAAATGAATATAACTACACATAAAAACTCATAAAACTCAAAACTAATTTCCAAAACCATGTCATTTTTGTTAAAAGCCATGATAGAAATAATAAACATGTAAAAGAATCACAGCTGATATTTGAATGTAATGCTGAGTACTACAAATGACGGAAAGACCGACTTTTATCTTCATGAGTTTTTCTTTTTCTTTTTTCTTCTCTTTAATGTCAACAATTTGATCAAAGCCTGAGCAAACATCAGGCCATCATGTGATTCGGCCTCACATGTCATGTTGCTTGTGACCTCAGATCTCAGGTCAGCTCGAGTCCAGCTGCAGGCAGCTGCAGGGTTCACAATGTCAGAAAACCTGCGGCTTTGATTCGCTCCAACCGATGAAAACTCCATGCTGTAAAAATGCATCTCCATACATTCACAGCTAGATTCCTCCCAAGAAAACTCAGACTGTGGCGACAATGCGTTGAAATATTGCGAAACTGACTTTTGTTTGTTTAATCGAAAAGCAGAAACAGTCTGAGCTGCTTGTTTGCCTGAAATGAGGTGAAAGATCCCGGGGTGTTGTTGCACAATCAGAACCAGAATCAGAATCAAGTTTATTGGCCAAGTATGTTGACACACACAAGGAATTTGTTTCCAGCTGTTCGTGTCTCTCTAGTATTAACACTATACAGATACTTTACATATAATTTAGTACACAATATACAGAAAGATACACACTATACTTCACTATACCAGGATATATCTGTGCACTGTGTCAGCCAGTTTTTAACTAGAAGCATGGATTCACACTCAATTCAACTCTACTATCGGTGATTAAAAATATAAATGTTCTGCTGCATCAACATGTAAGCAACACCTGGTTCATAATTTATGATCTGCTGTGTCTGTCAGTGTGACGAGCGTTAATGAGACACAAAGGTTTCTGGGTGAAAGGTCAAAGTTTGACTGGAAAAAGTAATAATGTAAATAACGAAATGAATATTTGTTGTAAAGGTTTTATCAAAGCTAACATTTTCTCATTTTATCAAACAAGAATCTCATCCTGAACTCACAGAGATTTGATGCATAATCCTGAATTACATAACTGGATTATCTGTTTGAGGTAATAAAAAAAAAGTTGAAGTTTTGATCATTATATTTTGTGATTCATTCATTTTGTCACAGAAAAGGAGCCAGAAAAATGTTCCTGTGGTGCGCACTGACTTTTTAAAGAAATGACTGTTTCAGATAGTTTTCAGTTAATTTTATTGAACGCACACTTACAATACACAGTAACACACAGACTTGTTAGTGTATCAAACAAATAATACTGTACATGCAGAACTTGCATAGATGGTTTTTGCTGTTTTTTTTATTTATAACTCTGCATGATTTTGGCCAAGATTCTGATTGAACAGGTGGAGAATCTTATTTGCATTGAGTATTGCTCCTCACAACCTAAACTGATGCAGATTCTATGAGCTAGTATCTATTATAGGCATTGGACATTATCTGTAGCTGGTCTTTTTTATTTTTATTTATTTGATTTTATTTTTACTCAGCAGGCATGACTTGGTCCAGGACGACCTTGATCTGGTCGATGGCGTTGCTCAGGCTTTCGCCGACATGGGGGCGCAGGTAGTGTTCGTACAAACCCAGCAGTGAAGTACGGGCCTTGTCCACAAGAGGACCTGCTTCTGATCCAAGACCACTGCAAGAAAAGGACCAATTATGTCAAATGTATTCAATATGAACTGAATCACCACCTAGCGCAGTCCCTTTTGCCATTGAAAAGTTGCAGCAAAATTAAATGACGCAAGCACAATCAGCTGGCTAAAGTTAAAACTAAAACTTCAAGCTTTTCAAAGGAATGATGGAAATCTCAGCAAACGCTCACCTGACGACTTTGACGGCAGCTTGCAACTCAGGCTTGCCTTGCAGAGACTCGGCATAAGCCCTGACGTTCTGCCCCTGCTGCTGTTCGCCCATGGCGGCCTGCAGCTTGCCGTAAGCGTTTATCAGTCTCTTGTAGAAGGTCGCTTTCATCGTCTCGTATTTGTCAACAAGCTCCTTGGATGGAGCAGGAACCTCACACAGGCTCATAGAGACTGAAAAACAATGTGTCAAACTGTCATTCAGAAAGCAGAGTGATCTATTACACTGAAATGAGTGAAAATGGATGCATTGAAAGTCACTGAGGAAATAAAATGCTTATAAGTAAAACCTTGTATTGTAAAAAAAATGACAAATGGAACATAAAACCAAAGTATTTTTTAATGAAAGCATTTTTGCACATCAACTAAATTTATGAAAACACTTTACTCAGTATTACTTTATCAATGCACAAAAAACTAAAATGCATGACAAACTTGTTAGATTTGGTTCATTTTGAACTGAATCCAAATAAAATACATATTTAAATCAAGTCTGATGCATGAAACAAATGACCACAGTCCTTTGAACATTAGGTTGAAATAAATTAGAAATGTTGCCTCACCCTGCAGAACGAGGACCAGTGCCAAGACAAATTTTGCGTTCATCTCTGAAACAACAAAACATAAAAAAATTTAAATAACTAAAATGCAGCAGCACTTGAAAACACCAGTATATTGTTTGAAAGTGGTGCTAAATGAAATCAACTCAGAAGTATCTTTGGAAAAAGGCAGCAAAGTTTGCTGGGTTTACCTGCAGCTGAGCTGGACGTGCCAATCCAAGAAGTGACAGTACTCTCTGAAAGCGAGTTGTCTGTAAACCAGAGCGCACATCTGGACGGGATGATATAGGGGGGGACTGCAAACAAACGTCATAGGGTGACAGTGCACACACACACACACACACACACACACACACACACACACACACAC